AAAAAAACAACGGGGGTGGTGGGGGGGGGACAGACTGAGGGAGGCCGGTAGCAAGGAAGAGAAGGGAGGAGAGAGGGAGACGAGGCAGGAGGGAGGACGCAAGAGGAGCAATGACGAAAGAGGAGGGGCGACGAGGAAGGAAAAGGGAAGGAACAGGGGCAAACACCGCCCTTCCTGGCGAAATGGAGGACGCAGCCGCCGCCACTTGTGAACAGCGCAAGCACGGCGGGCCGACGGCCGTTGCGCATTATTGTTCGGAGAAATGCTAGGGGCGGGCAAAGTCGCGACCGCGTCGCGCATGCGTCGCGCGTGCGTCGCGCGTGCTTCGCGCGTGCGTCGCGCGTGCGTCGCGCTTGCTTCGCGCGCGTGGCGCGTGCGTCGCGCGTGCGTCGCGCGGGTCGCTCGTGCGTCGCGCGCTGGCAGGGGTGCGTCGCGCGCGGGTCGGGGCGCGTCGCGCGAGCATCGCGCGCGCCGCGCGTGCGTCGCGCGCGCGTCGCACGAGCGTCGCTCGGGTCGTTCGCGCGTCGCGCGCAGGTCGCGCGCGAATCGCTCGAAGGGCGCCATGGGCTTCCGACGGCGCGTGAACTGCACGGCCCGCTGGCGAAACACTCAAGGGGCGCGCGCGGCAATACTAAAAAAAGCGAGACACGCACGTGAGAACTACGAACGCGAGGAGACCAATAGACGACATGGAGATGCAGAGCGCGCGTGGACTAATCCATTTCAAGCGCACGCCCCGTCAGAATTTAAACATCGGTTCGTCGCTGCAGCAATTTAGCGACGCCTCGCCCGCCGATGCATTCGGGGGAAAAAGAAGATGGAAGCGATGCGAGGGAAGGGCGGGCGGAAAAGGGAACGGGCGGGCGAGGAGGGGGCGCGCGGGGGCGGCGCAGCGGCGGCTGGAGCGATGGAAGGCAATCGAAGGGGGGCGGCGGGAGCGAGGAGGGCGAGAAGGAAGTTCCAGGAGGGTGGAAGGACAACGGGGGGCGAGTGGGGAGGGGGACAGGACGGCAGCCTGACACAAAAGAACTGCATACAAGTTTCGCAAGCGGGACAAAACGCGCAGCGCGTTAGACGAGGGGAAGAGGAAGGAAGAGGGGGGGACAGGAGGAATGGCGCGAAACGAAATGGGGGTGCGGGGCACGATGCGACGAGGCGAAGTGGCGCCGAGTCGCGCGACGTGACGTCATCCCCAACGTGGCGCGACACGCACAGCCCCCAATCAACGCGAGGCGTCTTCGTCCTCAGCATCGGTTGGCGCCCCCGAAAATGCGCACCAGCAAATCCTCTTGCGCCAAATTGGAAACATAACGCGTTGGTGGACCGTCGAACTAGAGTGCGCCACGACCGCCAAACTGGCTGCTGGTGCACCAGCGTCGGAAACCTATATGTGGCCAGAGAAATTCCGAAGTCGCGCCATATGTCGCCCACGCACTCTGGGAGGCCGGGATTCGGGACAGAGACGCAAACCAGGGCCGGCGCACGGGCGACGCTCAGGCGACGCACTGAACGAAACTGACAGGGGGGGGGGGTCGCTTGACTGGGCCTTAACACTGTGGCCCCAGCTGCGCGATATGAATGCAAACGATATGGTGCCGGCCCTCGGCTTCATCCGCAGTGCCCGAAGGAGACGTGGACAGCGATCCTCGACTCTCCGATCCGCGAACTCCACCGCTGAGCTTACTTCCCAACTCTGCGCCAGCAGCAGGCGCCCGATGCACGCGTGGAAATCGTTGATGTTGCGCCGCGGATGGCTGGCCTGCGCAACCCATCACCCCTCCCGACTCAGCCCCAGCAGGCTCTGGCTGCACCCCAGGCGCCGACCGCCGTTGGTCCTGCGAGGCGCCTGAAAGAGGGGCTGAGGGGTCGGGGCGCGCTAGGTCTGACGAGCCGCCACGGCCCGCGATGGCCCATGAGAGCCCAAAGACAAGCCCCAGAGAGGCCCAAGACGGGCCCAAGAGCGCCCAAGAGCGCCCCAAGAGCGGCCCAAGAGGGCCCCAAGAGGCCACATCTCGGTTTCTGAAAGGGGGGGGCGTAATTGACGCCGCGCTCCTTTTTGAGCCATGGCCTCCACGGTGGCCCTAACAGACCTCCCAGACCCTCCAAAAAAAACCCAAGAGGGCCCCAAGACCCCCAAAAGAGCTACAAGGGTGCCCCAAGAGGCACCGCGGGGACCCCAAAAGGGCCCAAAGACCTCCAACATATCCCCAAGAAGGCCCCTCAGAGATAAAGACCCAGAAAAGTCATTGATGATTGACTCGTCGTCGTCGTCGTCGTCGTCGCGGTCGTCGGCGTCGTCGGCGGCGTCGGCGTCGGCGTCGGCGTCGGCGTCGGCGTCGGCGCCGGCGCCGGCGTCGGCGTCGGCGTCGGCGTCGTCGTCGTCGTCGGCGTCGTCGCGGTCGTCGTCGTCATCGTCGTCGTCGTGGTTGTCGTGGTCGTCGTTGTCGTCGTCGTCGTTGTCGTTGTTGTGGTCATTGCTCCTCCTCTCCTCCTCCTCGTTTTCCTCCTCCCCCTGATCCTCGTCGTCGTCGTCGTCCTCCTCCTCCGCACCGTCCTCCTCCCATTCTTCCCACAAGGAAAAGCCAAAAGGGAGCAGGCGGGGTCGTCGTCGTCGCGGTCGTCGTCGTCGTCGTCGTCGTCGTCGTCGTCGTGGTCGTCGTCGTCGTCGTTGTTGTGGTCATCGCCGTCGTCGTTGCCGCTATCTCCCTCTCGCCTCCCACCGCCTTCTCTTCTCCCTCCTCCTCCTCCACCTCGTCCCCCACCCACTCCTCCCACAAGGAAGAGCTGCAAGGAAGCAGGTGGAATGTAGGAGGAACAGGAGGGTATACGCGAGGGCAGGAGAAGGTACGCCCGAAAACAACGACAGTAAACATGCTTCGCAAAAAAACGTTGTTTTGGAACGGGCAGGTGGGGATACTTTCATCGCAGCTGCAGGCCAACCAGCCGACAGCGTCTGTAGAGTAAACACGGGCCACGAGCACCGCAATTGCCGGTGCGCGCGCCGAGCAAGCAAGCTAAACCTACCGCCGAGGGAGGCAACTGCGCCGGGGCTGACCTATACAGGTGGGGATATTTTTTGGTCAACGGGTTTGCGAGGCGGGTCGAAAGCCATCCGAACACTAGTTGGGCCGCGACTAGGCAGCAGGAAAAGAAAGGCAAGCGAAGCGAGCGAGCGGGCAGCCACTCAGAAAAACAGGTGGGGATACTTTTTGGTCTACAGGCTCGCGAGGCGGGTCGAAAACCGCCCGAACACTAGCCGGGCCGCGACTAGGCACCAGAACAGGCGGGGATACTTGTTGATCTGCGGCCCCAAGGACGATTCCAGAGAGCGGGTCGAAACAAGCTCGGGGCAACAAGCGAGATAATTGCCAGCGGGCCAAAAGCCAACGCCGGAATGCACATGCGAGGGACAAAATGAACCTCATTAAGTCGAACCAAAACGGCAGCCGACGGCGGACAGCGGGGCGTCGCACAGTGGCGCCAGCACCCGACAGACCGGACGGCGAAGGGCAGGGCGACAGGGGGGAAAAAGGGGGGGGGAGAGAAGGCGGGAGAGGGACAGGGGGGCAAAGGGAGCCTCACTCACAGAGCACCTCATGTGCTCGAAGACAGGTCGTCACTGAACCAGGGGTCGGTAGTCTTGTCGTGAGTCCCGAGTGCATGCGCCCGTGGACGGGGGGGGCGTCGCGTGGGACCACGGCGGCACTACCCACCGGCGTTCAGGCCCCGCCTGGGGGGGACTGCGGACAGGTGTGCACCGCCTGAACACCGCAGAAGGGCAGGGCGTCGCTGGCGTCCGCGAGCGACAAATCCTACCAGAGGAAGGGGCCGATGTCGCTGGCATAGCCGGGAGCCGGAGAACGCCTGCCAAGAGGAAGCACGGCCCTGCCAAAGGATGCACCACTTGTACAGGAAGCCAGCCTCCACGGCCCACCTGCCAATGCCCCATCGGGCGCACCCTGCCGCGTGGAAGGAGTGACGACCTCGGGGCAGGCGCGAAGACGTGGCACTGTTGGGGGGAAGCCGACAGGCGCGATCAGCACCACAGCGTGCGTGGAGGAGGGGGGGGAGGCGCAGCCGATAGCCGCAAATCAAATGAAAACTGGAAGGAGAGGCACAGGTGGGCCAGGCGACACAGACAGCCGAGGACCCAACAGAGCGTTGCCCTGGGCGGGTCAGGGGGGAAGGTCGTCGGCGTCGTGCAGCGGGACGGGCCCGTCGTGGGAAGGCAGAGCCTGCCAAAAGATGAACCACTTGTGCAGGAGTGTGCCTTACCTGGGCCCACCCGCAGGTGGTGGTCGAAAGGCCCGCCACTGCAGTCGTCGTGAAGGAAGAGGGGGGGGCGCAGCCGATAGCCGCAAAACAGTTGAATACAAAGGAGGAGGAGGAGGAGGAGGAGGAGGAGGAGAGCCAGGTGGGGATACGCGAAGCGTGAAGAATTAAAGCTCCCTCCTTTTTGAGCGATCTCCTCCAAGATGGCCCCGAGAGCGCTCCCAATGCTCCCAAGAGCGCCTCAAGAAAACCCCAAGAGACCCCCAGGAGGCCCCAAGAGGCGCCCAAGAGGCCTCCAAGAGGCTCCCAAGAGACCCCCAAGAGGCTCCAAGAGGCTCCAAGAGGCTCTCCGAAGCACCCAAGACGCTCCAAGAGGCCCCCGGGACCGCCAAGAGGCCTCCAAGAGCGCTCCAAGAGGAACCCTTCCTCTGTGTGCTGCCCACTTCCCTGATCGAGGCAACTCCTCTGGGCATCGTCTCTGGATGGGCTGGTGGGGTTACACGAAGCTTCCAGAAGTTGTACCGGATATATCCACCTCCTGCGCCTCCTCCTCCTCCTCCTCCTCCTCCTCCTCCTCCTCCTCCGACGACGACGACGACGACGACGACGACGACGACGACGACGACGACGACGGCGGCGGCGGCGGCGGCGGCGGCGGCGGCGGCGGGGACGGCGGCGGCGGCGACGATGACGACGACGACGAGCCGGCGGCCATCTCCGCTGAGGTCCTCCCCGTTGCTGCAAACCTTATGCTCGGACTCTTCGGCCGGCAGGTAGTCTGCCCCCCCCCCTCGCGGCTCTCCTCTCTGCAGGGGCCCTGCCGAGATGCCCCCTTCATCACATGGAAAAACGTGGACGTCGAACCTCGGGGATCGAACCTCCCAGATCGACAGTCGAAACGTGGCTCCCACCCGGCATCTGCCCTGCCTGGTCCGCCACCCGGCTTCGCCCTGCCCCCCGCTCCCGCAGAGACCCTCGTGTCCGCCCCTACCACTGGGATCGACCGGCGGCATGCCGATGCGCACTCAGGACCGACACTGGCGATCGAAGATCGGGGATCGGCCTCCTCTCTTCTCCCCTCATCCACCCCCCCCCATTGTTTCCCCCTCCCCTCTTCCTTGGCCGCCTCCTCAACCCCCCCGGTCGTGTCCTCGGACGACTAGCCGCAATAGTGCAACGACCACCGCCACGACCTCCACTGCGACCGCGGTCCAACTCGACCAGGACGATCACGACCACGTCAACGGTCACTTCGACGACCACGACGCATGCTTCGGCGGCCACGGCTACGACGATCAGTCACAACAACGACGGTCACCACGACCAAGGTCGCCACAACCAGAGTCACAATTCCGACGGCCAGCCCTGCGCCCAGTCCTACGAAGTCTGCGCCCAACCCTACGCCCAGCTCGGCGCTACACCCGACGCCCAGCCATGCGCTTAGCCCGACGCCCAGCCCGACGCCCTACCCGAGGCTCCAACTGGTGCCCTTCCCTGCGCCCAGCCCGACCCCCATCCCTACCCCCCACTCCCTGCACGACGGCTCAACGGACGGCTCACCCTGCTCCTAGCCCTACGCTCCGCCCAGCGCCCTGCGGTACGCCCAGCCCTCGGGAGCGGCCAAGAGGGGGGTGTCCAAGAGGGGGGGTGCAAATCATGACCGGCGGCGTGTGCGCGGCCCAGCGGGGGGGCCGGGACCGTATTGAAATCAGAAGAGGCGCCGTGAAATCTGGGGAAATATCATGACCCCCGCCATGATATCCACCCCCCCCTAGTCATCACCCCCCTCTTTTCCGCCCCCGAAGCCCAACGGCCAGCCCCACGCACAGCCCCACTTCGATTTCCCTTCGAATACCTAAGGAAAACGTGGGGCAAACCGTGAAACAATTAAAGAACACGGAGCCCCTACCCAACGAAAAGGGTTCCTTCTTCAGGGCCCCGACTGTACGCCCAGCCCCAAGGGGGGGTGCAAATCATGACCGGCGGCATGTGCGCGGCCCAGCGGGGGGGCCGGGACCGTATTGAAATAAGAAGAGGCGCCGTGGCATCTGGGGAAATATCATGACCCCCGCCATGATATCCCCCCCCCCCTAGTCATCACCCCCCTCTTTTCCGCCCCCGAAGCCCCACGCCCAGCCCCACGCACAGCCCCACGACCAGCAGGACGTGCCGCCCCAGGCACCGCTGGCACCCCTCGCCGAGGAGGCCGCCACGGGGGCGGCCGCCGGAGCGCCGGGCCGCCCCGCGGCGCCACGACCACGACATCGAGACCGCTAGTGAGATCGACTGTGAGATCGATAATCAGATCGACTGTGAGATCGATCGAGCGAGACCGCTAGTGAGATCGATTGTGAGATCGATAGTCAGATCGACTGTGGGATCGATCGAATGAAATAGATCGAGCGAGATCGATTGTGAGATCGATCGAGCGAGATCGATCGAGCGAGACCGATAGTGAGATCGATAAAGAGATCGATAGTGAGACCGATCGAGTGAGACGTTGGTTCCTCCCCCCCGAACCTCCTTATCACCCGAAGGGTGGTCGCATAGGTGTATATATATATACATATATACATATACCTATACGACCACCCTGCGGGTGATAAGGAGGTTGGGGGGGGGAGGGGCCCAGCAATGGGCAACAGTGGTGATTGTTGTTCTGACGATGCCAGTGGAGATTGTTGCGTTGCCGCTCGCTCTCGACAACCCTTCGCGTGATAAGGAGGTGAGGGGGGGCGGCCAACGTCGCACTCGATCGATCTCACTATCGATCTCACTATCGATCTCACTCGATCGATCTCACTCGACCAATCTCACTATCGATCTCACAATCGATCTCACAATCGATCTCACTATCGATCTCACTATCGATCTCACTATCGATCTCACAATCGATCTCACAATCGATCTCACTATCGATCTCACTATCGATCTCACTATCGATCTCACGATTGATCTCACTATCGATCTCACGACGGGACACCGACGGGACACCGCAGGACACCGACGGGACACCGACGGGACACCGGCGGGACAGCGGCGGGACACCGCGCGGCCCCGAACGCCGGGTCGCCAAACATTTGGTCCGGCCGCGCCTCGGCCACAGGAGACTTTCCTCTCGCCCGCCCACGCAGCTTCGCCTCGCCCGCACGCACGGCACGCACGAATACGAAACCGAAATCGATTTCCCGGTAGGGGGGCTCTCCGTTCCACTTCGATCTCACTCCCCAACCTCCGATACATATATATATATATATATATATATATATTACTTGCCAGTCTGGCCCCAGACTGTACGTTGTGGGTCGCTGTCCACTGGTAATATGCTGTCGCCCACTCTGCAACGACGCTACTCTTGCCATTGCGTTGCAGACAAAGTGCAACGCCGTGTACGTGTACTAATTTGACACTAACTCCATCAATCGCGTGCACATGACAGTACCCTCTCTGGTAGAACATCCCTCGAGGACAGCGTTAATCCGCCGACCCAGTCGGCGCGTGAGAGAGGCCCTTCGACGCGAGGCCGGCCCAACCATAACTGAATCACGCCACCAGCACCTGAATCGTCGTCATCGTTGTCGTAAGGGACAGTGAACAAGCAAGCGAGATCGAACAATGTCGCAAGTACGTCGAAGGGAAGCCCCTTCCAGTCGAATCCTTTCCTCGCCGGGGGAGGCCGTACCTGGGGGGGTGGGGTGGGGGTCCCTGGGGAGTGGGAGGGTGCCCCTGGGGTTGTGACCCCCCCTGGGGGCTTTCGCCTTCGATTCTTCGCCTCGTTGCCGTCGTCGTCGTCGCCGTCGTCGTCGTCGTCCATCGGAGTTGGCGGCACTGGCCGTAAGGCCTTCACGATTTAACCGACAAGGGATGTCCCCCAGGCACTTCGAATGATGAAAGGAGAGCATGTGCTGTGGCGCGATAGTGGGTATGACATGCATGAGCACATCAGCCCCGAACTATATGCAACCAAACTTACCACGATCGGTTGCAATGCACCCTCCTTCTCCGACATGTCGCATCCCTGCTCGCTGTTAACGTGTTTCGCTAATCATGACCGCGATGCCCCTGCTAAGAACCCCTCGATCTACACGCATCAATTCTGAATGATTATGCATCTGGTTTTCACTCCCGTGCAGCCTGTGATGAAGAATACCAGGTTGTTCACAATAAGGAACGACATTGACAAACTAGATGCGTCATTTTCGCTTTCTTCGACCTGCCCGCAACCCATCGATCACTTAATAGCAGTGGTGCTCAAGGATTCGCGACTATGCGTAATTCTGCCAGCGTTGGCTGAAGATGGACGTGGTGTAACAGATTCAAATAGCTAAGATGATAGCAATGATGCGCGTAGTGTCTGGGTGAATGACAATGGCGCAGACTGTGACGCGCGAAGGTGAGGGTGGTGATGCAACCGGCAAGCAAACAAGTTAAACAACAACACTGCTTACACTGGATTCCATGCGCAACTGGCCAACACGCGTGCGCACATCGCACTCGCAGTCTGGACACATTTGGATCTCAGCAGGGACACAACACTGTCACATCTAATCCCAGCAGGGGCGCAGGACAAGAAAAACTCCCTACGATGCTCGAGCCTCGCAAACCAATCAGGAAAATGGGATCACCCGAGGCGCGCTCAACAATATGTGCGCCAAGACGGCGAGCGTAAACTCAGCGTTGCGTGGTCTCTTACGGGAAATTCAGATGGTATCTTGTGATACATGTGGGACAAAATGCGGCGTGTGTGAGGGGCTTGTCCGTTCAAATCGTCATCTCCGTCATTCGTTGGTCGTCGTCTATGTCGTCCGCTTTCCATGCCTCCCCCCTTTCCCTGGGCTCGTCGAAGCTCCCCCCTTTCCCAGGGACCTCCTCAGTGCGCCAGCCAAAGCAAAGTTGAGCAACGTCGTAATTGAGTCGAAGGGAAGCCCCTTCCCTTCGACCCCTCCCCCGCCGGGGAGGGGGGGTCCCTGGGGGGGTCAGATACGACGCCCCCCCTGGGAGTCCCGGAGCCCAAAAAAAGCCCCAAGACGGGCCAAGAGTGCCCCAAGAGGCCCCAAAGACAGTCCAAGAGAACTCCGAATCGCCGAACGATCTGTCCAAGACGCCTTGACGGCCTCCAGACAGCCCAAGAGGCCTGCAAAGCGCCCCAAGAGGCCTCCAGGAGATTTCCCATGAGAGCCCCAACCAAGAGGCAAAATTCATGGATTTCCCATACGTTTTTGGAAGATGTTGGCGTTCTTGCCTCTTCCGCTTCCCGGACGGCCCAAGAGGCCCCCAAGATCGCCCCGAGACGGCCCAAGAGGCCCCCAAGAGGGTCCCCTAACGGCCGAAGAGGGCCCCAAGACGGCCCAAGACGCCTCCAAGACGGCCCAAGAGGCCCCCAAGACGGTTCCAGGAGAGTGCCCAGGGACATTTCGAGCTCTCAGCCCCAAGAGGCCCCCAAGAGGCCCCGAAGAAGCCCCAAGAGGCCCCAAGAGGCTCCCGAGGGGCCCCCAAAACTTCCCCAATACAGCCCAGGAGAACCCCAAATTGCCCAGGAGGCCTCCAAGAGTGCCTCGAGACGGCGCAAGAGGAACCCTGGACGGCCCAAGACGGCCTCAAGAGAGTCCCAGGCTGTCCCAAGAAAGCCCCTGGCCTCCTCCTCTGTCTCCTCCTCCTCCTCCTCCTCCTCCTCCTCCTCCTCCTCCTCCTCCTCCTCCTCCTCCTCCCCCCCCTCTGCTCCCCCTCCTCCTGCTCTCCTCTGCCTCCCTCTCTTCCTCTTGTTTCTCCTCCACATCCTCCCCCCCCCTCCTCCCTCATCCACCTCCTCCACCATTCCTCCACCGCCCACTCATCCTCCTCATCCTCCTCCCCCTGCCCCCCCCTCGCTTTCATCTTCGTCGTTCTCAGGGTCGGCGGCACCGGCCGTAAGGCCTTCGCAATCGCACCCCCGTCTCCCAGGCCCCTGGTTATGCAGACTACCCCCGCGGCGAATCGGTGGCCGTGCAGGAAGAGAAGGCGGAGGATAACGATGCAGAAGCAGGAGGAGACGAGGAGGAGGAGGAATGGGAGGAGGAGGAGGAGCCATGGCGCCATGGAACCAGGGAAAACAGAGAAGCGAATCCGTGCAAAAGGACAGCCTCGCACGAGAGTACTGCCTCATCGCACAACGGGCCGCCCTCCGCCCCCACACGGGGAGGCCCCCCCCCCGCGTGCAAGGGAGGCCGCTCGCGCATCGGCGAAGAGCTCATGCAACACAGCCGAGGTACAAGTCAACGCATTGTCGCCCCGTGACTCGCTACTTCTGGGTGACGGCGGTCGCGCGTAGGGGGGCGGTCGGTTCACCTCCTCAGTGTGAGGTCCTTCACGGCTATCAGCCCTTGCCAAAACATGTGACACGTGCAACTGGGTTGGCACCCCGGGGCGAGTAAGCACGAAGGCCCCATGGGACTCACGGGCCACGCGGCCCCGCCACTCCACCAGATGCGCGATCCCGTCCACCAAATGCGCGATTCCCGCGCCTGGAAGCTCAAGGTGGCTCCAGCGTGCGCAGCTGAGCACCACGGCCCCAGGCAACGTGCCGCGGGGCAGGACCCCAAGAAACAAGCCGGCATGCTGACACCAGCCGTGAAGCGCACATGGCGTTGTCAATGTTCTCGCGGCATAGGGCCGAGCACCAGGATACGGTACCCAGCAGAGCAGTAACTGCCCCCCCCGCCAATGGGGAGGAAGAGGAGGAGGAGGAGGAGGAGGAGGAGGAGGAGGAGCAGAAAGAGGAGGAGGAAGAGGAGGAGGAAGGAGGCGGATGTGAAAGGAAGGTGGAGGCTTGCTCCCGAGGCTCCCTATCCAGGGCCACGAGGATGCCAGAAAGAATTGTCGCAGCGGGATCGTGCAGAAACATTCCTGGTGGGCAATCGGATAGTGCGCCCCTCCTTGCCATCCTCCTTCATCCTACCTCCTCCTGCTCCTTCTACTCCTCTCGTTCCCTCCTTCTCCACTCCCTCCCTCCGCAATCCTGCCTCCAGGCCGTGCATGTTCGATGGAACAGTGGGTGTGGCTACAACACCCCAAGCTGTGGTTTATTGTGGGTTTCCATGCAGCCCTGGAGGCTTGCCGGTAGTCGGAACGTCCTCGGCGGCCCAAGACGGCACCACTCAGCCCAACATGGCCTCCCGCATACCGCATAATCGCCTAGGTTGGCCGAAACTTGCTTTCCAAACTTGCTCCCCCCCAAAGAAAAGCACAATGGTTCTGAGGTGGCCACGGCACTCCCAAGGATCCCCCCGAAATGTCATGATCAACTGAAAAACTAACCTTTCTGGATCCCATTGGGCCTCTAACGCCTCCAGATGGCCCCGATATGGCCCACGAGGGCTTGAAGGAAATTCAGAAACGACCAACGAGGGCCCTGACGGCCCGCAAGAGCACCTTGACAAAGTCTCAAAAAGGCCCCGACAGCCCTACACACCGAAAACCGGAACATTGGGCCCCAATGTTGGCGGCGCGCAGGAGGTGGTTGGGGGAGGGGGAATGCTTCTCAGGAGGATGCTTCTGAGAAGGCGCCAGCCTCACATCTATAAATGGGGCCCGCGCCTCCCAAGGAGCAGATGGCTTCTAAGAGGCCTTCACCTTCCCCCATACCCCCCCCCACCTGCGCGTGGCCGACAAAGGCCCTGCGCGCCAAAAGCAGTTACACGGCCCGCGCAAAACGAGAACCGGCTAGGCGCGCCGCCGCACGAGCGGCAACGCCAGCACGCCTGGACACGGGGCGGCCGACGGGAGCCACCGCCAAGACAAGCGGCCACGAGAAGGCGGTGAGGCCGCCACCACCAGGGGACCCAAGGCGGTGAGGGAAGAGGAGGAGGAAGAGGATCAGGAGGAGAAGGAGGAAGAGGAGGAGGAGGAAGAGAAGGGAGGAGGAGGAGGAAAAGAAGGGAGGAGGAGGAGGACAAGGAGGAGAGAGGAGGAGGAGGAGGATTTTTTTGAGCACGTGGGCTCCCGCTGCATGAGTAAGGAGGATGAGTAGGAAGAGTAGGCGCAGAACGAGAGGGTTGCCGCCGTCGTCCGAATGCCAGGCGAGCCCCAAGAGGCCCCCGAAGTGGACCACATCGGGAAGGAGACGGGGAGCCTGGGCTGCGCCGCGCTAAAACTAGCTTACCACAGCGCAGCAACAGGAATCTGCGCTCCGTTAGTCGAAAAGGAGCTGACCTAAGCTCGGCTGGTGGAGGCCTCCTAGATGGGCTCGGAGTAGATGGGGTCGGAGAATCGCGCGGCATCGCCGATGCATCGGCGATGCATCAGCGATGCACCGACGACGTCGGCGATGCGCCAGCGCCGTCGACGTGGAAAAGATCATGCTCCACACCGAGCTGCATCGCCGATGCACCTGCGATGCGGCGCGATCCTCCGACCCCATCTACTCGGACCCCATCTAGGAGGCCTAGATACGTTTAGCTCAACTGAATCATGCTAATTAGATCCACCCACATGCCTTCGGCACGTAGTGGAGTGCCCCAAGGATCCTGCAGCTCTGCGAGGTAGAGGGCTGGTGGCTCTTAATGGTTCTTAAGGGGTTAGAACCCCGGTTTCTCAAGCGTTCCCTGGCACGACTACGCCCTCCAAGGGTGTGTCGTCTGAGCTTTTGAACGCCAAGAGAGCCCCAAGACGGGACAAGTGGACCCCAAGAGCCCCCAAAGACGGCCGAAGAGAGTTTCGAGTCGTCGAACGATCGGTCTAAGTACGCCCAAGATGGCCGCCAGACGACCAAACATGCCCCCAGACGCCCCAAGATGCCTCCAAGAGGCCTCCCAAGAGAGCCTCAAGAGGCACAATTAACCCCCGCTCCCGATAATCATGACCCCCTCCCTTAACGATTGAGACTTGATTATCCCGGACCAATACAGGTTTGGTCCCGGGAAAACATGCGAATCGAACTTGCTCTCGTCTTATGTTGACCAGCAAGGATTCCTGAGGATTTCGATTGACTTCCTCCGGAGTATTATGGATGTCCTAGGGAATCCGATGGATATCCGATGGATTCCTGCGGAACTATGGAATCCTATGAACGTTATCAGGAATCGTATGGGTTTCCTGTGGAGTCCTCAGGTAATCTTATATGCGTGCCCTGAGGAATCGCATAGATTTCGTAAGAAATTAAACATTGCCGTAGGAAATCCATAGGATTCCTAAAGACATCGATGGGAATCCTTTGAAAACCCATAAGCTTCCTTAGAAAGAGTCTATCGGATTCCTGATGTAATCCATTAGAATCCTTAGGACATCCATAAGATCCCTTCGGACATCTAGAGGAATCCTTTGGAAATCCATTGTGTTCCTCAGGACGTCCATCGGATGCCTCATGAAACCCAAACGATTCCTCAAGAATTTCAATGATTCCTTAGGACATCCATCGGATACCTGATGACGTCCATATGAAACCTTCAATAATCAATCCGATCGCTTAGGAAATCCATGGGATTCCTTTGGGAATCCATGGGTCCCATCCGGAAATCCATTGGACCCCCTTAGGACATCCATAGGAATCCTTAGGAAATCTGTAGGACTCCGAAGGCCATGCAATGAATTCCTTAGAAAATCCATGGGAATCCTTTGGACATCCATGGGATTCCTTTGGATATACATGGGGGTCCTTAAGAAATCCATGGTATTCCTCAGGACATCCATCTGATTCCTGAGGAAACCCACATGATACCCTGGGAAATCCATAGAATTCCGTAGGGAATCCATAGGCTTCCCCAGGAAATCCATGGGATTCCTTAGGAAAGCAAAAGCTTTAATATGTCCATCGGATTCCTTAGGAAATCCTTAGGATTCCTTAGAATTCCATCGGATCCCTTAGGAAATCCATCGCATCCCTTAGGACATCCATCGGATGCCTTAGGAATTCTATGGGATGCCTTAGGAAATCCATCGGACCCCTTCGGAAATCCATCGAAATCCCTAGAATCCATAGGATTCATTGGGACATCCGTGAGAATCCTTAGAAACTCCTTAGGAGCCCTTAGTAAATCTATCGGATTCCTTGGGAATCCATAGGGTTCCTTGGCAATCCATCCGCTTTCTTTGGGCATGCATTGAATTGTTTCGGACATCCATCGGAATCCAGAGAAAATCTATAGGATTGCTTGGGGCATCTGTAGTAATCCTTGGGGCATCCATAAGTTCCCCGAGGAAATCCACAAGAGCCGTTAAGCAATCCAAAATATTCCGAATGACAGCCATAGGATTCCTTCGAAAACGAATTGAATCCGGAGGAAATTCGAATGACTCCTTATAAAGCCCATGAGTCCTTGGGATAACCATCGGATTCATGATGACATCCATCTTATTCCTTCGGCAATATATCGGAGGATTCCTTAGGAATTCTCAGGACGCCCATCGGATTCCTTAGGACATCCGTAGGATTCCGCAGGCTTCCGAAGGAAACTGGTCGGAATCCTTAGGAAATGCATCGGATCCCCGAGGCTATCCTTAGGTTCCCTGAAGAAATTGATTGGATTCCGATGGACATCCAGAGGATTCCAAAAGAAAATCCTATGATTCGTTAGGACATGCATGGGAATCCTTAAGACATCCATATGGCAATTCGTAAGGACTCGGATGGATTGCTTTGCAAACATCGAAAACGCATGTCAACTCCAAAGTCCAAACTGTCCTCCGGGATCGTATGGTTTTTCTTGAGTCCTAAGGCAATAATATGGAATGCATTAGGGATCCTGCGGGTGTCCTGCGAACCTTTTGGATTGCCCAAGAAAGTAGTCTATGCATTGCGCTAGGGCATCCATCGGACTCCTGAAGAAGTCTATAGACATCCTTCGGAAATCCACATGCTGCCTTGGGAAATCGATATAACACCTCAGGAAATCCATGGGATTCCTTAGGCAGTCCATCGGATTCCTTAGGACATCCATAGGATCCCTTAGGACATCTATTGGAATCCTTAGGACACCCATAGGATTCCGGAAGACATCCCTCGGATCCGTTCGGAAATCCAACAAGATTCCTTTGGATGTCCACAGGGTTCGTTCGGCAATCCATGCGATTCTTTAGGACGCCCAATGATATGAGAAATCCATAAGATTCCGGAGGAAATCGATTGGATCCCTGATGACATCCATCGGATTCCTAAGGAAAATCATATGACGCCTTCGGAGATCTATCGTATTCTTTCGGACAGACATGGGATTCCTGATGCAATGAATAGGAGCCCAAAGGAAATCCCTGGCATTCGCTAGGACACCCATCGGATACATTAGGGAAATCATAAGACTCCTTATGTATGAAATCCATCGGATGTCCAATGACATCCATATGAATCCTAGCAAAATCCTTGAGATTTCTTCGGAATTCCATTGGGCCCCTGAAGGCAAACACGGGGCGCCTTAGAAAATCGATCGGATTCCTGAAGAAATCCACTGGAATCCTGAGGACATGAATTGCATTCCTTAAGAAATCCATAAGATGCCTTTGGAACTCCATAGGACCCCTCAGGACATCCATGGCTTCCCTTCGGATATCCATTGGTCCCGTTAGGAAGTCCGGAGGATTCAGTCGGAAATCAAATTTCGATTCCTTTGGAAATCCATCGGGTTCCACAGGAAATCCAGGATTCCTTAGGAAATCCCTAGGCATTCTCAGGACATCCTAAGGGTCCGTAGAGCATCTATAGGACCCCTGAGAAATCTATCAGATTCCACAAGGAATCCATATGATTATTGAAGCAATCCATCGGGGGAGGATCCCTTAGGAAACCCATAGGACCCCTTAGGACATCAATTGAATCCCTTTGGACATATACACAATTCCTTAAGAAAGCCATCGGATTCCTTCGGCAATCCATGAGTGCTTAGGCAATCCAGACGATGTCGGATGAACTCCATAGGCATCTGTTGGACCTCATTAGGAAACCGTAAGATCGTATGAATCCCAAGGAAATCCATGAGTCATTAGGACATCCTTAGGATGCCGTACGAAATCCAAAGGATTCATTTAACAAGCTCGGGATTCCTTCGGTCATCCATCGGATTCCTTAGGCGATCCGTAGGATCCCTTAGGAAACCGATCGGATTCCTTAGGGCATCCATAGGATCGCTTAGGCAATCCATAGGTTCCCTTAGGAACTCCAGAAGATTCCTTGCGGCATCCAGGGGATTTCTCAAGAACACCATATCATTCGTTAGGCAATGCATGAATCCTTCGGACATCAACATGGTAATTCGTAAGGAATCCAATTGGTTGCTATAAAAACATTGAAAAATGCATGTCACATCCCAAATTCAATTTGCCACCATTCAGGGTTCACTTTAGTTTCCAGGCCAATATGCGGATTGCTCTGTCTTGGGAAACATCCGAAACACGCGTGTTAACTCCAAAATCCAATCGGTCAGCATTCTGAACCAAAGTTCTTGATTCCTTGTGCGTAATTGGCACTGGACCGTTACTCCGCAGGGATAGTGGGCAGGGGTTTGATATTCCAGAACGTGGAACCATGGTCGATCATTCTGGAATGATCAACCGAAGGGTTTTATTCATTTGGAACCATCCTGCATCTCGCTGTTTACTTAGTTGACACCAAAAACAATGTCCCTCGCTCTCTTCCAAAATCAAGTGCCACTATGCCTTCACCAGGCTCAATTTCAGCATCCATAAGCAAAAGCGCCTGTCACTTCTCAACTGTCTTTGTCTTGGTGCCTCTCCACGAACGAAAACAAGCAGAACTGGTGATCTGGCCAACGGTCGCACAAAGTCTCTCATCGGACTTTTCCAAAAGCTACCCCCTCGCGCCCATGTGGCCTTCCCTGTGATCAAAGCTGCCCGATCGAGATATGCCTACCTTCAGCCAGCCTGCTCCCCATTCTCCATCTATCCCTCCTCCCGCCCAGACCTCCTCTTTCATAAGTTCTTGCATTTTCCTCAACCCTTCCATGTCGGTGTTGTCGCTGTCCGTCATTAAAGACTTCAGCTGGTAGTCTCGGAGCTTGCCCGAGACCCAGAACGCTAGCCGCAGCACAACCTCGAAGGATTACAACTCTGTTTCAATATATCGCGTCCTCCTCCCTTACCCTGCCCTTGCCTCCCCATCCCTCCAACAGCTGCCTCTACCTGATCCCCTCCGTCTGCACCCCCTCCTCTGGAATTTCGGACCCCGCTCGGTGGCATCCTGGCTGCCCTCCCCGCGTCCTCCTCCTGCCCCCGTCACTCGTGCCGCTCGCCTCCCCTCGGCCTCCTCGTCCTCGCCCTCCTTTCCCCCCTTCCGCACTTCCTCCCTGGCCATCTCGACTGCACGTTCAGGCATCTCCTGACCCGGGTCAATCCAGACCCGGGTCAGTCAGGCCTGCAAGATCCTGCAGACTCCTGCAAGATCCTGCACCCAAATCCGGGTCAACGCCAAGGATCCTGCAGGGTCCTGCAGGAGCCTGCACTTAGACCCGGGTCAATGCGACCCTGGCCCTGCAGGATCCTACAAGATCGGGCGCTCTGGCTGACCCCAAGATCGGGCGCTCTGGCTGACCCCCGTTTGTCGGCGGCATGTGCGCGGCCCAGCGGGGGGGGGGCAGGGACGCAATGAAATAAGAAGAGGCGCCATGAAATCAGGGGAAATATCATGGCCCCCGCCATAATATCCCCCCCCCCTAGTCATCACCCCCCCCCTTTTTCCGTCCCCGAGTTTGTTTGTTTTTTTTTTGCGCAAAGACAAGGCACGGTGCAGTAGCTGCAGTAATCTGGCTGCTGCGGGCCTACCCTCCGACGAAGTGCCACACAGCATCCAAGGCAAGGAAACTAAACATAGTCCAAACAACGACAAGCTTCCAGACAAACAATTTTACTTCGTGGCGAGTTTGACTAGCTATCGCGCCATGCCATGCGCCAAGGACTCCCAAGAAGCCTCTGATTTGGACCCGACATATTGGGGTCGTGCAAGTATGTGTTCTATCAAGGCTCGTCTAAAGTCTCTTCGCACGTGCCTGTTGCGTGCAAGATTCCTCAATCTTGCAAGCGTCAATAAGGACAAGGAAGTAAAAGAGATCAAGACTTCCCGCAAGCGTCGTGGCGTGGATCGTCACGCCATAGTCTGCACTGAGAGCGATCAACGGTGAGAACTACGGTGAGAACTGTGACAATCTACCGTGGCAGGCCAGTGCAGTTGAATAGCGACAGCACTGCTTGTGTACGTTGTATGCTCGGGCACTCTCGACCTCCCGATGCTGAGGCGGGAATGAGCACTTCAACGAAACGACACCAAGCGGCAATAACCTTCAGCAAACATAGTCATCCATCCCCATCAGCATCGGGAGTGCCCGGGATCGGCGGCACTGGCCGGAGGCCACTGCACTATCAGCCTCTAGGAGGATCGGGGTTCCAAGTGAGCCGAGAAGACAGCGTCCTCGCAACACTGCCAAGAGCTCGGCGGAGGTAACTGCAGAAACCACGGTGAAACGAGGCGGCTCGCGACAGCAGGCGGAGGGTATTCCGCATGATGGTCTCCCCTGTGGCTTCCCTGTGGCTTGCAGCAGCACTGGAGGCACGGGAGCTCGCCCCCCCTCCCACCATTCCCCCATACCTCCACCCTCCGTCCCTAAACATAAAGAAATGACCAAATGGCACCATCAGAGGCCGTCCAACACACCCGTGCGGCGAAACGCTGCTGAGACGAGCTACTGTGCAGGCACTCGCTGGCTCACGGAAGAAGCTCGGGGCAGGGTGATGACTTCTTGGTTGCACTCCTGCATGGGCAACGTCAAGGTTCGAGCGGAACCAAAACCGCTGATCTTGAGGCCGTCCACAGGGTGGATGAGGACGTTCTGCGGCTTGAGATCGCGGTGAATGACAAGGTGCACGTGGCAAGCATGGATCCCGCTGAGGTTCAAATACTGGAGGACCCCCGCCGTGGGCAGCTTGATGCCCGCCAGCTGGAGGCCCGTCAGGACTCGGTGGAGGTCGTCTGGCACGTACTCGAAGACCAGCTTGTACTCTCCGACGTGCGTGACCTGGGGAGCCCTTGAACTGCACGACGTTGAAATGGACCAGACGTCAGATAGTTCAACGACTACAAAATTGAAATACCTACGAATTGAAAAACCAAGTATTTTTTTTTTCAATTCGCATGTAATTCAAAAGTGACGTTCATGTAGGGCTGCGCGAGGCGAGGGCGCCGAGGACACTTGAGCCAAAATGGCTACGGACCGTCCCCGAGTTTGCCTTGACCCCCGTCTCCAGGCTCCCCGCACGTGCGGCGGCCGCGCGGCACGGCGCGGGCAGGCCCCGAGCCCTCTGCGCCGCCGGCCGCCCGCGACCGCTCGTCGCCCGCCGCGGGCGTGCCGGCCGTCGTGGCGCGTGGCCCGGGCCTGGCTGTGGGCACCTGCCAGCCTGAAGTCTGGCGTGTCCCCCTACAGGGGGGATCTTCGACGAAAACTGTTTCAAAAAAATACTCCATAGATACTCCAAAATGGCGTTTTAAAAAAATACTCAAAAAATCGCACCCAGACTATTTTATTGTATGCTTGGACATCCCCCCTGTAGAGGGACGGGCCCGACTGGAGGCCGGCGCCACGCTGACGGCGCTGTCGGTCCACGACGACGTTGGGAATCAGGTCTCTGCGACGCCGAGATCGCGCAGACGGAGCTGTGGGAAGACACGAACGAGCCCTTCCTGCAAGTGGGTTGGCCACGAACCAACCCCGCCTGCAATGCCGAACCCTGCATCCCCGTTGCCTACATCGCCATTAGCG